TCTATGGGATGAACGATTCAGGATGGCGACAGGCTTTGTGAGCTAGAGAGAGGTGCAGAGAACAGAGCCAAGAAATAATAAACTAAGGTCTGAGGATTTTTATCCCAGCTCCAGCCTTGTACGAGCATTTTCTTCTCTTCTTTCTCATGGGTAAAGAACTTCAGTGATGAATCAGACGAGCTAAGCATCGTGTTTCTCAATAATCTGCACAAAACTCTGCCAGAGGTGGGTAGGCAACTGAAGCAATGAAACCAATTTTACAACAGAGGGCAAGTAGTCCATATTCAAAACCGAGAATCGCAGCTAGGAGGAGAAAAAGTGGTTTAGCTCACTTCCCTTTGTAAAACGATCTCACTGCCTCTAACACGAGGTTGACTGTATGCGTAAGGGTTAAATGCATTACCAGCTGGCAAATGACCTTCTGGAGAGAGAAGGAGGAAGCCAGAGAGGCCAACGCTTCAGAAGTAACTTATTTAATAAAAATCATCCCCCCCTCGCATTTCTGACACCACCGGCAGTCCCACCCTCTTGCCTCGGGTCACCAGACGCGGCTCCGCAAAGTCAGAGGAAATTATCGAAATCGATCATGGCTGGGTTTTCTGAACTGGTTATTATGCGCTGCTTTTTATCTTCCAAACAGTCCCCACGTTTAATTGCTTCGTTGTAATGGATTAACCTCTGAGGTCCACAGTAGCATTTATATTGTGTTCAAAGGGAAAGTTGCAGGTTCTGAGCCTGTTTGCGGGATGTGCTTCATCAAACCAAAGCATCCCTGCTCGGTTCTGGGTAACTCTGACCGTGGCTTGTCTGCGGAGGTCACTCAGAAGGCCAGGCAAGAAGAAACCCCCACAAAAGGCTCTTTTTTGACCTGCAGGAATCAATGCACGCCCTCCAAGCTGATTTCCAGATGAAAGAGGAGTGGGCAATGACCATGGGGACGGTCAGTCTGTAAACAGATATTAAAAGCACTGGTTTTAGGGGCGGGTTAGACCTGGGTCTTACTCTCCTGCCTCATTCATCTCTCTGCCTCTTCTGGATCTCTCCCCATCAGCAAGCAAATAGGCTCTGCTGACTCCCATCTATTAAAAAGCACCTCTCTTGGCCACTGAATCTTGGCTATTCATTAAAAATAAAATTCTTAAAAGTATTACCTAGACTTCCCTCCCACTCTGCTCAAACCTCTTAGTCATCAAAAACCTTCATGGAGTCAGATGCTAGAGACACTTTTTGGGTTCATCTGTATCACATTTGTAGTGGTATTTGATGCAGGGAATGGTCCCCCTTCTGAAAACATTGCTTTCTCCTGGATCCCATGAAACCCACCCTCCCTTGGTTTTTCTCCCGCCTCTCTGGCCATCCCTTCCCACTGCCCTTCACTGGCTCCACTCCTCCTACTCACCTCTCAATGTCAGGTTTTCACCTGGGTCCTCTTCTCATTTCTCTCTACCCGCCTTCCCTAGACTTTCTCATCTGTCCCTGTGGCTTTAAATACCATCTACACACTGATGACTCTGAAACGTACATCTCTAGCTTCTGACTTCTGTCTGAACTTCAGACTAGCATATGCATAGTTTATCCAGCCCAAATTCAAATTCTTCAGTTTTCACCATCTCAATACATGAGCCTTAGCTCCTCTTAACTTCAAACTACTGACCAGTCTTGTTGATCATCTCTTGAAAGTATATCTCAGGTAAAACCACTTCTCTTCATCTCCGTTGGCATAACCTGGCTCAGGCTACGAGCCTCCCTCTCACACTAGCCCAAGAGGCTCCTGATACTCTTTGAGGCTTCTATCCGGGGTCCCTTTCCGTCCCCTTGTCACACAGTAGCCAGTGACCCCCAAGCAGGCTTACACTCTTCCTGTCTGCCTCCTCCTCCCACCTCCCCTGCTTGCTTCCCGTTCCTTAAACTCACCAAGCCTTTGCCCTTGCTCCTCCCTCTCCCTGAAATGCTCTTTCTTCCAATATTACTATGATCCTCTTCCTCTTCTTAGCTTAGAGAGACCTTCCTGGCCCCCCTAATCTAAAACACACCAGAGAGACTTAAGTTTGCACTCCAGCTCCCCACTTCCTAGCAGTGAGGGAAAACAAGAAGGGGTGAGAGAAGGAGGCAGGAAGGTGAGCAACGTGGAACACTGATAAGGCACTGGGTTCGCATTGTGGCTCTGACCCTACCCACCTTGTGGGTCCTGCCACCATGTCATGGCCGGTAGAAAGACACTAGATAAGATGGAAGGCTGTTGGCAAGAGGGGAATTATGATAGAATGGCCTTTAGACTTTCCAGCCAACGTGTGAGTTGCTGAATAGAGCTAACCACAGACACCAGTGCTATTCAAGCTGAGATCTGAAGGATGCTGGAGGTGTTAGCCAGAGGAAGAACGGGCAGAGGGACCATGGTACAGAATGCCCCTCAGGCAGACTCGCCCTAGACATCTAGGGGCTTGGCGGAGGGCCAGCCGGCTCCAGCAGAGCAGGTGTGGGGCGGGGGCGGGGGTGGACATGAGTGTAGGGGTGGGCAGCAGCCTGCCGTGCAGACCCTTGCAGACCACATTAAGGACTTTGGGTTTCTCTTAAGTTCACGAAAAGCCATCGAAGGGTTTTAAGCAGGGGAGTGACATGGTCCAATTCACATTATTAAAGGTGATTCTGGCTGCAACGGGGAGATTGTGGGAGCAAGAGCAAGAAGGCCAGTCCAGAGAAAAGTGCAGTCGTTCAGGAAGAAAGGATGGCCCCTTGGACCAGGGGTGTGGAGAAACTGATGGGCTTGAGAAACATTTCTGAGGTTTAATTGAGACTGCCTGGTGGAAGACGGGGTAGGAATTGAAGATAACTCCCAAGTTTCTTACATGGGAACTTGAGTGGAAAGTAATATCCTCCACTGAGATGGAAAAGACTGGAAAGGAACACAATCTGAAAGAGACGCCTTAGAGTTCCTTTCTGGACATGCTAAGTTTGGGATGCCTGATGTCTAGACGAAGAGTCAAGCAGGCACTTGGATGAGGGGTTGGTTGCAGAAAAGAGGTCAGGGTATTTCCGGGTCTGTGGTAGGTGCCTTGAGATTGGGATTCATCTGTATAAATGGTACTTAAAATCATGAGAATGAAGAAGATGGTCTAGGGAAACAATACACCATGATGAAATGACCAGGATAAAAGCGTGAGGCACACGAGCATTTTGAGGTCGAATGAAAGACCTAAGTCCAACAAAAGAGACTAAACAGGAATAACCAGAGAGAGTGGAATTCAGGCATCTTGGGAAACAGCCAAGAGAAGAGAGTTTGAGAAGCAGGGAGTGATCAATTACGTCAAACACAGCAGAGATGGCCAGGAAAGGCGTGCCCTTTGGCTTCTGCACTGCTGAGGCCATTTGTGGCTATAGCAAGAGCAGGTTTGGGTGGTGTCAGGAGAACACTGACCGAGGTGGGCGGATGAGGAAGTGCAGGCAGACTTAAGTAGGCAATGCTTTCAAGAAGCTTGGCTACAATGGTAAACAGACAGGGTGGAAGCTGATGAGGGTCATGGGATCCAGGGAGGGTTTTAGTTTCCTTTTGTTTGGAAAGCCATGTGCACAAGTGAAGCACTAACAGAATGATCCAGACAAAAAGAAAAAAGGTTGACAATACAGGAGGAAAATGAGATTATTAGAAGGTTAGTGTCTCTGAGACCCAGGGGAACATAATGCAAGCCCCATAAGTTTAAATTTAAATTTCCTAGTAACCACATCAGTAAAAGTCAGAAGAAAGAAGTAACACTAATTTCAATAATATATTTCATTTTGCATGACATATTCAAAATATTATCATTTCAGCATGCCATCGATATAAGCAATCATTAAGATATTTCACATTCCTTTTTCATATTAAATATTTGACTCTTACAGCCCATTTCAGTTCAGACTAGATGCATTTCAAGCACTCAATAGCCACTTGTGGCTGGTGGCTACCATATTGGACATCTCAGGTCTAGAACACAGTAGAAGGACTGGCCTCTGACAGAGTGAAGATAAGAAAGAAAGAGAAAGAAAGAATGAGAAAGAAAAAGAAGGAAGGAAGGAAGGAAGGAAGGAAAGAAAGAAAGAAAGAAAGAAAGAAAGAAAGAAAGAAAGAAAGAAAGAAAGAAAGAAAGAAAGAAAGAAAGAAAGAAAGAAAGAAAGGGAGAGAGGAGGAGGAGAGAGGGAGGGTGGGAGGAAGGAAGGGAGGGAGGAAGGAAGGGAGGAAGGGAGGAAGGGAGGAAGGGAGGAAGGGAGGAAGGGAGGAAGAAACCATGGATGCAGGAGGGTTTGAAGGTTTGGTGGTGGATGGATGAGGAGAATGAAAGGAAAGAGCGCTAAATACAACCACCAGTATATTACTTCACCTTTCCATTAATGTACTTCTTTTTCCTTGAAATTCCCTTTTACTTCCACATGACTCTGAAGTCACTGGGCTTCTTGAGTCATTGGAGGTAAGTAGTTTTTACATCAGAACACCTCTGTCATAGCCAAAACAAATCTCTTTTTGAACAAGGGAAGCACTTTTTAACACAATCTCTTCTCCTATGTTTGGAGAGACAGAGCATCATTCGGTGCTAAAGCAAGTGTGAGTTGTGTGTCCTCAGCCCGGTCCTGCCACGAATCTTCATTGTGCCGGGCAGTTCAACTTCCTAGGGATGCTCTGAGCGATAAGAATGAGACAGAAAAAGAAAACTACAAAATCGAAATGCCCACAGACACCATCAGTAATAACAACACCACCACCAGTGACAGATCCGTGGAGAGCCAACCACATCCTCCTGGCGTTGGCAGCTGGTGACCCCTCCAACCTATTTTTCAGTCATAGAAGCATCAGCAAAACCCCAAGTGGGACTCTGCCTAAGCCTTTCCCTCCGTTCCCTTCAAACCCACATGGACTTTGAGGGAAATCTAATCCACATGTTTCTGATTCATTTACACTTAACTCATCAAAATGTTGTTTTCTAACAGCTATTTGATGGCCAAGAAGCCTTTCTTAAAGCTCCTTTCTTAGAAATAGGATGTTGTGGTTTGCCAAGAGGAAAAAGGCTGAGCCCCCAAAGGTTTATATTCGACTTGAAACTAAGAAATGGTGAAGTTTGGGCCACATTTGGCCCGATGCTTTCTCATTATTCCGAACAACTTTTCTCCCCCAGGTGATTTTTCAGCTCTCAGTTCAGTGTCAGACGGAGTGAAAATGCTTGGGTTAGGCAGGGTTGCTGGTCCCGGATGGCCTTTGAGACAAGTTGGACTAGAAACTAGGATGCGTTCAGAAAGGATGTTTTTTCTGCCAGCTCATTTTCCCTCCCTTGAAATTCCCTTTACCTCCACAGTTTACAGTAAGCCTCTCGTCAGCTAAAGGGCAGCTCCTTGAGTCACCCCAGGGTGCTTTCCGTGTTCTCACACTGCTCCCCCACGAGGGTCTAGCTACTTGTGGTGCTCGGAACCACCGCTTCATTCTTTGTTTCTACTTCTCAATGAAAGCTCTGTGTCAAAGTTTCAAGAAAACAAAAATCCCAGAGCATGAAGAATTTCATGGCCCTGCAAAGAAACAGAAGAAATGTTAGATCAGATTTAGGCTGATACACTCACCAACTCCCTTTAACTTAAGACTTTAATTAAAATGACCCCTATAAGGGGGATTAAAAATAAACACTCATTCATGGTTTCACTCTGGAATCCCATAAAATGTACATGAACACACAACTTCTGGTTTATTGTAGCTTCCCGAGACACCCTGCCCAGATGGATTCGATTCCTGCCATTTGGAATTAAGACAGATCTTTCGCAGCCCTCACAGGGGTAGACACTCTGATCTTCCTCCATGTTTGTTTCTCTTTGGGCAGCTTCCAGACATGGGCCATTGGACACATGGTACCCGAGCAAGATGAGTTTATGAATTCTCTCTGGTGAAAGGGCAAACTGTGTAGTCTGGCAGCAGTAACTAGGACACAATAAATGTCCAAAAATACATGTGTTGAATTAATCTGTATCAACAAAACTCAGTGGGTCTACAGACCTGGTGGACTAGAGAAGGGGGACAGTATTCACACTTTGCAAAGCAAAAGAAGAAACTGACAAAGGAGGGAGGCAATGAAGAGGAGAAATACAGAGAGAAGCTATCTAGTAAATTCATTTTGCAGACAGCTCCAATCAATGGCTTGTCTCCTGGTGAGCAATGAATGACCATTTCTACAGAGTCTTACCAAGGTGACAATGGATAAGACAGAATAACCCGGACTTTGTGAAATATACACAGATAGGACTATTTTGTTATTATCTCCCTAGAACAATGGGAGAAGGCCACACTTTGATGTGTATAATTGGACTTGCTTCCCCTGGTGATCTGATATTCACACTGGCAAAAAGTTAGAATAATGGGAAAAAGTGAGACACAGTCTTTGGACAGAGAAGGAGGATTTTCCAGTTTTTCACAGAGGCCAGGAGCTCACTGGACACAGACTTTAAGACACAGATACCCTGGATCCACTCCAGCAGTGGGAATGAACTGTCCCTGGAAGAGTGGAAGGAGCCAGTAGAAATGGCCATGGGAGAAGTGGTCCATCACTGGCTGCTCTTCAGGCTCAGTCAGGTACGTCTTGGATTCCAGTACCACTAGTAAAGATCAAAACCAAGCATCTCTGTCCCCGTGAACTTGAGCTGAGCAGTGCCCCATCCTGAGGCTGCAGCTAGCTCATCAGTAGCAGACATCCAGACGAGACAGCAGAGCGGCAACCTCAGAGTTATTCTGTGCTCAGCCAGAAGCAAGATAAGGAGATGGAACTGGAGGGTTTGTTTAGAGCACAGCTTCCTGCAAAACTCTCAGAAACGTCTGAGGGACATTTGGGAGGTGACTTCTGTCCAGCAAGTTTCCAAGAAAGGACTCATCTTCTGACAATGTAGACGCGAAGAAGGTAGAACTCAGTTTTTTTTTAAACTTAATAGAGGGAATGGGGATTGAACCTAGAACCTCATGCCTGCTAGGCACGTGCTCCACCACTGACCTATGCCCTCCCCCGCAGACCGCGGTTGTTTTGAAAGCCTGAGAACTTACGTAGGTGGTATGAATAGTGCCTTCCCGAGGGGCCCCAGCCAACAGCTTAGCTACCTTGTCTGTATCTCGTGCTTTAGAGAGATCCATCTACATTTAAAACTACCTCTCTGCTTTCTTCTGCCAACACACAGAATCTTTTCCTGAAGTAAAAGGGTTGGAACTGAAGGTTGATTTGTATCTGGAAAAATATAAAGAAAGCAAAGGTAGGATTCAGTCCACCTCCAACTTTCAAGATTCCTAGATTGTATTCCCTATCCCTAAGAGGTTTTCATTGATCAAATAGAGTTAACACGTTTATCTCCTTTGAATTTTATGCCAAATTAAGCCACAGCCTTTGGAAGGTCACCTGTGAGATATGCGTGCACACACACACACACACACATGGACTGGACCGTAAATGTGCTGATTATCTGGCTTGTCCCTCCGTGTCCACCTCCAGCCTGCTCTCTGCCCCCAGAGACTGATGTGTGTAGACTTGACCGAAAGACTCCTGAGTCTTCCCCCTCCCACTGGGCCAGAGTGTTCTGGGTTTTAATTCTGCCTATTCCAGGTATCCCAGGAATGAATCCCTCAGTTCCCTTCCTGCGAGGTTGCCCTCAGCCTTCCCCTCGGAGCTCTCCTCCTTTCTGGTTCTGATACCCTCTCCTCCCTCGTCTCTCTCTCTCACCCCTCCAGGCCTAGGGGTGGAAGTGGCTCTGCTGCTTCTCCACCTTGTCCCCTCACTCTCCCTTGTGGCTCCTCTTCATGCCATCTGCACTGGTGCTAAGCCTGGCAAATCAACTCTCATAGAATGACCCTACTCAGAGGTCACATTTGTCCCTGTAGAGCTCTGGACAGTGAAAAATTCAGAAAGATTTCTGCCTTCATCCTTGAAAGCTGATGACAAAGAAAGCCAATGAGCTTAGTTTCTTTAGAATCCAACAGCTATAAATGGATTAAATGTATGACCTAACACCATAGGAAAATAGAAGAAAATACAGGAAAAAAAAAAACTCCCTGACATGGGTCCTGGCAATGATTTTTGGGTATGACACCTAAAGTATAAGCAATAAAATTAAAAAGAAACAAATGGGACTACATCAAACCCAAAAGCCTCTGCACAGCAAAAGAAATGATCATCAAAATGAAAAGGCAAACTATGGAGTGGGAGAAAACACTTGCAAGTCATATAGCTAACAAGGGGTTAATGTCTAAAATATATAAGAACTCATATACCTCAATAGCAGAAAACAAAAAAATCTGATTAAAAATGGGGAGAACTGAATAGACATTTTTCCAAAGAAGACACACAAGTGGCCAACAGGTACAAGAAAAGATGCTCAACATCCCTGATCGTCAGGGAAACGCAAATCAAAGCCGTAATGAGATGTCACCTCCCACCTGTTAGAGAAAGTAAATTGGTGCAGCCGCTATGGAAACCGTATGGAGATTCCTCAGCATATTAGAAATAGAGCTACCATATGATACATCAATTTTACTTCCGGGTATATGTCTGAAGGAAACAAAATTACCATGTTGAAGAAATATCTGCACACCACATTCACTGTAGCACTGTTTACAACAGCCAAGACATGGAATCAACCCATGTCCATCAACAGATGAGCGGATCAAAAAATGATATATATGTATATATATAAATACGTGACATATATGTATATAAAATGTGTCTGTATATATACACATACACATAAAAATACACACACACACACGCACACACACAATGGACTGCTAATTAACCATAAAAAAGAAAATCCTCTCATTTGTGACAACATGGACGGGCCTTCAGGGCATTAGACTAAGTGAAATAAGTCAGACAGAGAAAGGCAAACACTATATGATCTCGTTTACATGTGGAATCTAATGTATGACATGCAATAAACAAACCCCACCAAACTCAAAGAAGAAGCGATCCGCTCTGTAGTTGCCAGAGTGGGGAGGCAGCAGATGAGGGAGCTGGATGAAGGTGGTCAAAAGGTAGAAATTTGCAGTTACAAGATAAGTTCTGGGGACGTCATGTACAACAGGATGGCCATAGCTAACACTGCTGTGTGGTGTGCTGGGACGTTGCTTAGAGAGTAGATCTTAACAGCTCTCATCACAAGGGAAAAAACTTCCTTCTTTCTTTCTTCTGTCTACAGGAGATGATGGAAGTTAACTGAACTTACTGTGGCAATCATTTTGCAATACATGTAAATAAAGACATTATGTTGTACACTTTAAACTTGCACAGTGCTGTATGTTAATTATATCGCAATAAAACTGAAAGATAAATAAATGCCAACAGTTGCAAAATTTTAAACATGTGCGTATTTCATGTGAGATAAAAGTTTTTGTCTTCTACTAATATTGATAAATGTAGACTGGGAAAAATAAACAAAGCTAAAATTAGTGATAAAACTACGGGGAAAAGAGCAGTTCCTGCAATGAGACAAAAGCTCAGATCAAAATCTATCAATAAACTCTCAAGAATTTTTATGAATTTATGAATTCTTTATGGAATGGCATTAAGATAATCAGGGCACTATGTTAAGCCTCTTTGTAAAAAAATGTAGGTATATATAAATATACACACACACACACATACATACACAGACAAAAATGTGTATATATACACATATATACTCATACACATACATACACACAAGCCTGTCCCCAAAAAAGAAACATACTGATTTATGCTATATATCTGTTTATATAACAAGTTCTACTTAGACTAATGGTGTTAAAGAGAAACAAGTAATTGGAGATTTAATTAATTAAAGGCGTGCATTCACGTCTATTGATAATTTGAATCATCTATTTTGGATAGTGGTGATTCCATAGTTTAAACCCAAATTGTACATTTATTTCTGAAAAGATACACTTAACATCTCATTAAGACAAGGACCCTTACTCATACTGAGAAGTCCATAATAGAAATATAAACAGAATTCTGAATAATGAATATGCAACCTGATGATAAAAAGCATATGGCCCAGAGCCTCCGTTCACTTCTGCTATTCCTTTGGAAATTAATTGCTCACAGCGCATAACTCAGTGCTAAGCACCTTAACAGGTAATTGAGGAATAGGCCTGACTCCTGACTAAGTTAAGTCAAGCCAAGTTAAGTCTTTATCTGTATTTCTTTCCTGTGCACACACACAGACAAAGACACAGACACAGACACAGACACAGACACACACAGCAGAGTCACTCACATCTGTAGTCAGATAAATGCCTCATTTATGTAACATTGCTGTTAGTACATCCCCCAAATAAATAAAGCTCACCCATTTGAAGTTATATGTTTTAATTGGGATCACAAAACTTTCCAAAAGAAAATACACACTACTCAAACTTCTTAAACATAAAATTCTCAGCCTAATATAAACTGCAAACGGTTGAGTCGTGATGGTTCTAATTATGAGCATCAGTCATTTTACTGGACCCTCAGACCGTTGAGGCTCTTTCAGCTATCCTCGGGCTGTTTATTATTTTTAAACTGCGTTCTAAACAGCCAAGGCAGGGAGACCCCTCCCCCTCCATCAGCACCCTACATCTGGTGACGACATTTGTCTTCGGAATAAAACCTGAGCTTTGATCTCTGAAGACAATAGGTGTTCTGCCTGGGAAGGACCCAGGTGTGGGGTTGAGTCTGAGACCGTATTAAATCGTTTGGTGACCCTAGCCATCACTCCCAGTGGACTTTTAGGGAGAACAAAAAAAAGCCAGCTCCACCCAAGAGTAAAAGGCACTGAAGGTTCACATCCTCAATCCTTTGTGTGCCTCTGTGGGTTGGCCAGCGTGCTCCGTGCAGGGCACCCCATCTGGAAGCACGCACCCTGCCCACGGAAGCAGAGTAGGCAGGCTGTCCTCCCATCTAAGGCAAACAGCCCTGTGTAAAAGCAGGGGATCCCTACAACCAAGGCTCATGCATTGTAGAAGGAAAGCTGATTGCATAAAAGGGAAGGATCCGATGAAATGTGATCAATTGTTATTCAGAGAACAGAAATGACTTTAAAAAAAAGTAATTAGCATTCGCAGAGAGTTTTATGATGATGATACATTTGGAAATTGAGCACAGGCTGCTGTTGCTGCTGCTGCAAAAAAGAAGCATTCAAAGAACATGAAGGAGTTCCTGGAAATTAAAAAATAATTATTTTCAAAATATAACAGCCATCCCAATCATAGAACAAAGCAGGCTAAAAGCCCAGGGGGTTGTCTGGAATTGCTAACTGGGCAAACATTCCATGATGTAGAGCAATAGGACAAAGAGATGGAAAATGTGATAGGAGAGTGAAGAGACATGGAAGAAAAATCGACTAAAGCCAGCCAATGCCCACAAAGAGTTTTAGCAGGAGAGGACAGAGGCAGGAGAGAGGGGAAAACAAAGCCAGGACGGAGAGGTGGACGTTCCCGTGCTCAGGAATGAGGAGAATCTCCAGATTGGAAGGAGCCCATAAAATCTCAGAAGAATGCCTCAAAAGATCCCACCTAGGGGTACGAGAGATTTCAGAATTTTGAAAAATAAAGAGAAAGGCTTAAAAGCTTCTGAGAAAAAATGTCGTTTTTATAAGGGAATCTGAAGCAGACTGACATCAGACTACCTGATGGTTACAGTAGATGCTGGAAGTCAATGAAGCGGTGCAGATACACACGCTGGAGACCCAGAAAATGCACCTTTCAAAGGGAAAAGGTTCAAATTATGCTCCCTAAGAGATACTTTTATAGTCCTGTGGACCAAGTTGCCTCTACATCGTGCACTGAGAATGTGGAAGCTTGGGACAGTGCTCTTCTTACAAATTTAGCCTAAAGCCTAATCTGCACTGAAGCGGCATCTTTTATTTCTGATGAGAGTTTTTCATTTACCACATTTGGGGTTGTCAAGCTTCTACAGAACCTTAGCCCTTATCCACAGGGTATCAATGGCACCTTTTGTCAGGAACTTAGGCAGAAATGCAGTCTCCCCCCTCGTGGCTGGACACCCTTGGCTCCGGTGTCAAATGGAACATGGCTGGAGTTGGTGGGATGAAGGGATGCAGAAGAGAGAAGTAAGAGAGGCAGGAAGATACCCGAAAACAGGAGTAAGTCCACAAGCAGGAAAACCTACAATAAGCCCCGAACATCGTCTCGGAGGGGTGCCAGGGAGGTGGTGCCTCATGGTGCCCCTGAAAGCTCAGCAAACCCGGCTGCCCTCCCTCTGAGGGACTCCCAGCTTCTCTCCCGTTTGGGCCTTCCTCGGGCATCTGCAGCGCTTTCCAAACCCCTGCCTGCAGCCACCTTTAAGAACAGCGTCTTTGGAAACAGCAGAGGCACCCACACAGGGCTGGGCCGACCACCAAGCCCCTCCTCCACCGGAGAGCCAGAGTGTCACTGTCCTCAGCGCTCTGCGCACATGGCTCTGGTCCTGTAGCTCTGTCCTAGAAGGTGTCCCTGACGCCGGAGACAGTAGCAAAAATGACGACTGTCAACTCTGTGAAAGGAAAGTTTCTCTCTTTGTTTTGGAGAGTGAGACCATCATTTTGTTTTTTATGATTTTAAGTGGGTTTATAGTTAATGATTTTCTAAAAAATAAGAAATTATTTGTATCATGAGAGAAATAGAAGAGATATAGGAAAACATATATCTCCTCCCCAATCTCTCCTTTCACATTTTGAAGCTCCGTTTTTAAATTTATTTAAATTTGTCCTAGAGACTGTATTTTGGTGTTGATTCTTGTACGTATGAATGTTCACGTTGCTTTATCTTTTTTTCTATTAAGATTGTATAATTTTAGTTAAAGCATTGGCAGAGTCACGTCGATTTCTCCGGGAGGAAAGCATCCCCCACACACACCTTGTTCTGCGGGAGAAGCTCTAATGCCAGGCATTTCCCCTCTCTGGGTGGCTGAATCACAGACATAAAGCCTCCGAGTATTTAGCTTGGCTTTAGAGAGTCTTCTTGCAAACTTAATGAGGGCAGGAAAATTATTGCGGAGGTGTTGTTGATGGCATACAGAACGAAAGCATATTTGCCATTGGTCAGTGACAACCAGGTGTACCCTACCCTGCGTCACTGCCAACCTCAGGCTCCCAGAATTTCCCTGAGGTCTTGTTGCCTCAAAAACCCAATAAACAGTCCAGGTTGTTTATTGCAGAGGGGCTCTGCCTCTCCCCCACCACTCACCATTGCCCTGGGTGGCCTGACCACCCTTGCTTTGAGGTTGGCAAAAGGGCACATTGGAGCCACGTTTATGCAACGCACTGAATTATCACCTGTAAGGGGAAAACAGAGAGAGAAAGTGAGTCTCAAGAAATCAGCTAATCTGGGCATGAGAAACTGACTGCATGTCTATTAGAAGGACAATGGAAGGGTTACAGGTTTTGTTCGGCGGTTAAGATTCCAGACTGTTCGGTGGCAGTTTACCCCCACACGATACCATGTTCCAGACCACAGGTTGGCAAACTCTGGCCTGCAGGTCAGATCTGGCCGGCCAGCTGCTGTTGTGAATAAAGTTTTATTGGCACACAGCCACGCCCACTTGCTTACATGCTGTCTAGAGCTGCTTTTGTGCGAAGAGGCTGAGTTGAGTAGTGTGACAAAGACCATCTGTGGCCACAAAGCCTGAAATATTTACTAAAATTTTTTTCTCTTTCTTTTTTTTTTTTTTTTGAGAGATAAGTTCTATTAATCTTATGATTTTGAATATTGCCCCAGGTTTTTATTTCTGTAGTTTATCTGTTTACAGTGTCTGAAGCAGGAAGAAAACCTTTTTCTCTTTAAAGATAGAGAGAGATATAAAGATGTTTGTTCTTTATTTTTTTTAACTGTTTTTTAGGGGAGTGGTGGTAATTAGGTCTACTCATTTATTAATCATTATTTTATTTAATGGAGGTACCCAAGACCTTGTGCACACTAAGCATACACTCTACCTTCACCCCAAGACATTTGTTCTTAGTACTCTTAAAGCCAAACTTTTTTACAGAAAAAAAGTGTGCCAACTCTTGTTTTAGACCAACATTGACACTCACTTAACAGGAGGATACTTACATATCAATGCAGAAGTGGAACCTCTGTCGCTCCCTCGTAGCTTACGAATGGGTCATGGTTTTTCTGCACCCACGGGGATGTCCTAGCACAGTGGTGACAAGCAGTGTGTTTGAGTCCTGCCTCCACGCTGGCCAGGTGTGTAACTTTGGGCTGGCCCCTTAACCTCTCGTGCCCCAGTTTCCTCATCTGTGCATGGGGGTAACCGCTGTCCTTTGCTCATAAGATTGGAATATGGATTAAGTGAATGAAGACATATTTTGGATTCATGTACAGTCAAGGGCTGTGCCTGATCACAGTGCAGCCTCAACGCACTTTGGATGTTAAGTGGTCCTTCTCCTTTGTGTTGCCACCCTTTTATGCTTAACACTCCCTGAGACACATAGAAAATCAAAAAACAATTTTTTGAGAGGAAGATCTGTATTCTTTTCCGTATAAAAATGCCCATCAGACGGGGAGTCAAAGGGGTTGGGGGATAGGAGAACCTGGAAAAGAGGGTAGACACTCATTTGCAATTTTAACAAGGTCTAAGTACTTCTTCCTTATTTATTTTTCTTAAAAATCACTCATAACAATCCATGAACTAGATGTTGTAGAGCATGGCCTACAGAATGGATCCTATAAAATCCAAACAATAGTGCAAGAGAAGGACAATTCTTAGTGGCACTGAAATCCGCTCAGTTCACTATCTCCCCAGATTCAGTTCTGACAGCACTCTCTCTTGCTCCTTGGACAGGCTCACCCCCAGGCTCAGCACCCAGCTCTCTTCAAAGGTCTCGGCAAATTAGAGGCTCTCCACACATACTTACCGTGGGCGGCAAAGTCAGATGCACAGGGTCTGGACTGACCTGAGCTTGAAAACAGGAAAGTTAATCAAGTCGTTGCTCCAAGGGAGTCCAAAGAGCACAGGAATAATTTTCCCAAAGCACCCAGGGATGCGGTGCCCCTTCACAGAACTGCTGAATCAATTAGCCTAATTAAATGAGGTGGAAAATTACTCCCAAAAATAAGTTGCCATGAAAGGCGAGTCTTAATTTGGCCTAAGGGAAAGCAAACAGCTCGCCCCTGTGTCTTGCCAGAGTCTCTGAATGGGGAATAATTGGCAATTTATGTGTGTGTGTGTTTAAGGCCATGGTACAAATATGTTTTCGTTGACAAGCAGCTGGGTTTTCCCTGGTATAAAAAGAGTGTTCTAATTAAAGGACAGTATAATTGTGTGTGTTGGCTGAAACGCCGAGTGTGTATCGTGACTGCAAATAGGGGCGCCTGGGACCCACCCCACTGTGGGGAGCCGGGGCTGGGGCCAAAATCGACCCCTGGGAGCAAGGACTTATATCAGTCCAGTCTGCCTCTGCTTCCTTCTCAGGGGCCATTTCCCAGCTCAGCAAACCACACAGAGAGGGTCTGAGGCACCCACTGCAAGTGTCCTAGAAGGACAAGCTATGGAGTTAAAAATTTAAATTTAAAAGGGTGACTTTATCCCATGGAATTCCATTAAGAATGATGCTAGAGAAGTGTATTTCTGAGTGTAGGATCAATCAAAAGTATTTGATAAGAAAAAAAACAGTTGCATGATGGCCGAGGTCAGTGTGGATATAGCCACCTCCCTCTTTCACCCACAACCCGGCATCCAACTTCTGGGACCGACCCAGGCCTCCCTCCACCTGCCCGCAGCCCAGTTCCATCTGCAGGGAAAACTCCAAGACCCCTGCATGGCTTAGGGGACTGTAGTTTCCTGGGAGCCTCAGAAAGGGGCGTCTATCAACCCTCTCTTGCCAGGTTGGCCTCCTCAAGCAGTGTAACTTTGATACGTATTGTTTGCAAAAAAAAAAAAAGTCTCTTTTGGATGTCTTTGTCAAAGATCTCTTCCCCAAGAGGGATGAGGGCTTGAAAGTTGACTATGGGGAAAAAGAACATCCTTGCTATATTTGGATAAGTTAAAAATTAGAATATGAAAATAATCACCAGATGTGGACTTCTTCCAACCCTCTCCTCCCAGGTGCCGGGAAGGACCCAGAGCAACGTGGTTCTGAGCCCAAGAGGCAGGGCATGGGATTCTCAGTCAAATCGGCCCCCTCACCACTACCCTCCACACCCCATTTTCCTGCCGGACAGCAAGGCCAACTTTTCCTTGCGAGCCCAGCTCATGTCTAGTGTGGGTTTCTGGAGCCTGGACAGTGCCGTACACTCTCCTTTCACCCAGCTGGGGACAGTTAATGACTAGCTATTGCCCGAGAAGCGGGGAGAATCCATAGACCTAAAAGATCCTTGAGAAGAGGGGGCTTGAGGTGACGGAGACCCAACAAACACAATCTTATAATTAACCAAAGACTAGGGCTGCATGCCCTGCGGATACCAAGAAAATCAGTAACCAGTCCCTTGGTGCCGCGACAGGGCTCAGTTTTTGAGATATTCGGTTGAAGAGGCAGCATAGCTGGGAGTTAAGAGCATCAGCCCTGAAACTATCCAGAGAGAGGGAGGGAGAAGGAGGGGAGGGTGGGCAGAGGGAAGGAAGGAGCTGGAGGGCGGGGCGAGAGCTATCACCAATTCCATTCCTGCCGCGTGCTGTGCCCTTTACAGACGGTATCTCATTTGAGCCTCCTCCCAGAGCTGTGGAGTTTATCATCCAAAGGAGGGTGTTTTAAAGACAACCCTCTTGATAAAGCTTAGAAGCTGTATAATCGAATGTTCCATTTGATCCATAACTCTTAGCCTTTCTGGGAGCCTCGCCCCCATCCCTGAACATATTCCATCCTCAAACCCATCCCATGCCTAAGATGACGCTCAGGGATGGCTGGGAGGCAGGGATGTGTCTTCCTTCTGTGTTATTTGATCACTTTTTAAAACTAACATTAAAAAAAAATTATTGAAGTATAGTCAGTTTATAAGTTTGTGTCAATTTCTTGTGTACAACATAATGTTTCATACATATACATACATGCATTTGCTTTCATATTCTTTTTTATTATAAGTTACTACAAGATATTGAATATAGCTTCCTGTGCTAGACAGTAGGACCCTGTTGTTTATCTATTTTATATATAGTAGCTAGCATCTGTAAATCTCAAACTCCCAATTTATCCCTTCCCACCCTCTTTCCCCACTGGTAACCATAATTTTTTTTTCTACGTCTGTGAGTCTGTTTCTGTTTTGTAAATAAGTTTATTTGTGTCTCTCTTGTTTTTTTTTTTTGAATCCACCTATGCAAATCAAAACTAAAATGAGGTATCACCTCACATTAGTCAGAATGGCCATCATTAAAAAGTCCATGAACGATGAATGCTGGAGGGAAAAGGGAACCCTCCCACACTGCTGGTGGGAATGTAGTTTGGTGCAGCCATTATGGAAAACTATATGGAGATTCCTCAAAAAACTAAAAGTAGACTTAACATATGATCTAGCAATCCCATTCCTGGGCATATATCCAGAGGGAAGTCTAATTCAAAAAGATACATGCACCCCAATGTTCATAGCAGCACTATTTACAATACCCAAGACATGGAAACAGCCTAAATGTCCGTCGACAGATGATTGGATAAAGAAGCTGTGGTATGTATATGTGTATGTGTGTGGATAGATAGATAGATAGATAGATCAATTGATCTGATGGAATACTAGTCAGCCATAAAAAATAAAATAATGCCATTTGCAGCAACTTGAATGGACCTGGAGATCATCATTTTAAGTTAAATAAGCCAGAAAGAAAAAGAAAAATACCATATGATAAAGCTAACATTTTGGTGAGCTTCCTTTAGTGTCATGAAATACAGTGTGGATGCCAAAATCTCTACCATGGCTACCAAACCACCAAGTCAACTTCCCATATTTCTCACTGTGATCCCCATTGTACAGGTGAGGGAGAAGAGAGATTTGTTTGAGCGCTTGGCTTTCCAAAAGTCCACCACACTGGCTCACATCCCCACAGCCCAGAGGGCCCTCACTCACCCATCTTTCCACCCCAGGTCTGGGTCAGGGCACAGATCTTCTTTACTTCCAGAATCATGAATCAGTCCCTTAGCGTCTCCTGCCTTAATTTCCCTGTCACTATCTCAGAAGCTTATTATGTGGAATTAATCTAAAGAATGTCTGGGGAAAAAAAATTGTTCTTGTAAAATGAAAAAAAAATGAAGTCAGAAAAGATTCTCAAGGGAAAGCTTTCTTTTCTGACAGGTACCATTTTCCCCAGACCCACATGGATCTGATGTGAGCCAGATGCTGCCTCTTTTAGCTTCAAATGTCAGGTCAGTAGATCCATGGGACCAGCTTCTATTTTCCATTTCCTTTGAAATTGTTTAGACAATGTGGGCAGGGTCAGGTGTTTAGGGGGAGGGAGAGACTCTGGAGGTTGGGATAGCAGGAAGATCTCACGAGGAGAGTCTGCCAAGGGCCTGAACGGAACTTTGAGGACAGCTTCAGGCTCTGGTTTTCACCGGGGCTTGTGGGACTCTGAGGTTCCTGCTAAAGCCCTGTTTCTTTCCTTGCTCTTTTTTGATGAAGTTTTCATTTGAAACCTAAATGCACAAGGCAACAGATCCTTCCCACCAAACTCAAGAGGAGGGCCACGATGGACCAGAATCAGAAGTGACTCTCCTTCCCCCTTTTTAGAAATGAGGGTAGGGGGAGTAGCAAGGATTTTAATCTATTTTGTCAAAGAACAAGCTTCCCCAGCTAGTCATTTTCGCACCTGATGAGCACGCAGGAGACTGAACAGGATGGGGACGTATCTCCTCGTTCTAGCCCTGTGGTTACTCACGGACAAAATGATTCTCATATTTTCTCTGATGCTTCTCAGGCTCTGTCAAGATTTGTTTTTTCAATTTGAAACAAGTATCCTAATTTGAAAACGAATGAGTTTCCTTAAAAGAAATAATATTTGCCACCCCTTAAAGAGGTCTATTGTGTCCCAGGCTAAGACATAAGTAGCTAGAGGCTTGGATGGAGATCAGAGGAAATGGGCTGGCTGGACACTGCCCCCCTCCACCCCTGGACTCTGAGCATCTTTGGATTCACTGGGGCCTGACCGTGACACAGGCTTGTGGGCTTTGACCATTTGGATCCAGAGACACATCTGCCAAAGAGTCAGGAAGAAGATGAAATTCTCCATCCTGAGGTCAACAAGACAGAGATGGGCAAAAACAAAGAGCAAACAAAAAAATCATGAAACGCACGCAAATAATTTTAAGCCAGAAAACTGCCCTACTCCTAAGTAAAGACAGCAGGGGTGCCACCCCCGTATCTCCACCTCCCGCACACTGAAGAGCCAGGCTTGCCCCCAGCAGGGCGCCCACCCCCCACCCCCAATAGCGTCCCTGGGTAGCAGCAGCGTCCCCATGAGGCTGGGGGAGTGCAACCCTCATTCCAGGAACCCGGTGGGGGGCCCCAAGAAATGAAGGCTTTTTCCAAATAGCATTCCGGGGTCCTTTTTAAACCTCTGTATCTCTGCTAAATCTGCAAGGCTCCACGGAGTTGGGTTGGAGCCAAGGGGGGATTAAGTGGAATTGTAGAAGTTTTCCGAATAAGCAGTTTCCTACTATTAGCAACTTCGCACCTACAGCGGAGGCTCAGCTTTCCCCCCTCCCTTTCTTAGCCAAGAAGCATATACAATAATTCTGTTGTGTAAGACAATGTGTGTCTGTGTGTGCGCCCACATGTGTACACAAGTGGGCCACTGTGTACGTGCACTTCTGTACACAAGAGCTGCATGGCCATAGCCTCGCTGTCCCTGCACGGCAGAGTTGGCCAAGCCCCAAAGAAAACACACATTTTGGAGGCCTGTGTAAGTGTTTTCAGCGTGTCTGCGTGTGTGCATGTGCGTTGTGTGTGTGTGTCTGTGTGTATAAACACATATAAATACACATCCTTTCCCTCCTTACTGATTCTTTTCCAAAGATTTCATCAAATCTGATAACCGTTCTTTTCCATTTCTATCCAAACCCAGGTTTTCTGTTATATCTGCTTCAAACATCACAGAAATTAACTTTTTTTAACAGCTTCCATCATAGGACCCAGAGCTGCTGTTTCCAGCTCCCTTGCTGGCCTTGAGCTCGCTGGGTAATCTCCCACCCGAATTCCCCAGAAACACGCCATCCACCCGGATCCATGGCCAGGCATCTCCCGTCCTCCTTCTGGGTTGTGTTATAAATTTTGGCTGAGACACTGACACATGTCAGCGTGTTACTTTCAGTGACATGTTTGTCTTTTCTTTGTTAGCTTTGGTTCAAGGCCGCGAATCCATTTGGAGAAGCGGCGTTTCTGAGCCCAAGCAAAAGTCTTCTGATCTGCTTGGTGGACTCTGGGGTTTCTCTATGCCTGCCCCTTCTTTTTATCCCTCTTCCTCCCCCCTGATTTTTCTTAGAAATCCAGGGGAAAAGGATATTTGGTGATCAAAGGGAATTCACCTGGCAGGGCCTGAATGAACACAAACCAGTGAGCCTCTGTCTTTGGTTGGATCTCACAAGACCCACCTCCACGTTTGCTCCCTCCAGGGGATTGCATCACAGCCATCTCTCCTCTTTTCCATCTGAGCTCTGCCACTCTCTTTTATCTTTTCAGGGACAACAGCGGTCTATGCTGAGGTTATAACTCTGCTCTGTCAAGTCTATTCTCTCCTTGATCATTATTCAGATTATCTTTGATCTGTTTGAAGTCAGCCTCAAGGGTACCTGCAGCATTCTTTCCAGGAGTTTCCAGAGCTCCAAGCCATCTCCTCCTGACCAGAGGCACTGCCTCTCTGCTCACTTCCTTGTGCCCTGAGAGAGTAATTTCCCTTGGCCAGGCTGTCATGGAAAAAGGCAAGTGCCAGCAGCCTGGCTCAAAGACATGGCTTACGAAAGCTGGTCTAAAAGTGAAGATGTGTTACACGTTCCTCGGGGCCAGCTGAAGGTGGCCAGGAAGACGCCTGTTTACAGCAAAAGAAACATGATTCTGCAGCCTCTTTCTTTAAAAAAAAAAAAAAAAGTCTTCTCAGGCTTTGAACAAATAATGTTAATATAAAACTTGAACACATATCTTAATGGTCAACCAAATCTAAATCAGTTTTGGCTGCCCCAGAATTCCACTCACAAAGGATAAAGGTTTACC